AAAAAAACATATTGACGATACTAATGAAAAATAGCGAAACAATCTGTTGTATGTGAAGGTGTAGTCTGATCGTCCGGGTGAGTGTAGTCCTGAGAAGGACTGTTGTCGGTGGTAGTGACTGACGTTTCGACAACCTGTGCGGAAGTCATCATCAGAGTCAAACAATTGAACTGACAACAATCATTCACTTGACTCTGATGATGACTTCCGCACAGGTTGTCGAAACGTCAGTCACTACCACCGACAACAGTCCTTCTCAGGACTACACTCACCCGGACGATCAGACTACACCTTCACATACAACAGATTGTTTCGCTATTTTTCATTAGTATCGTCAATATGTTTTTTTGCTGTCCGTTTGATGGATTAAATAGTATGATTCCGAATGAACAGTGCCCGTATCACTCGGGCACTACCAGATGAATAACGCGTTTGGCTGCACCGTAAACAACAAAAAACTGAGCTAGAGCATATTAACCGTACAGATTACGTTTTCATTACCGTTTTCATCACCTTTTCTGATTGCGGCTTTGAAATTCAACGATTGCAGATATTTTCATTACCTCAACAACTAACTAACTTACATCGTTGTATGATCCTTTGCTAGTCTGGATTGCTAAAGTTTGCTTCATTTGAGCTACCAATCGATGTGAGTCTTCGTTCCCTGTGCCAACATCAGTTCTCTTTCCCAATCGATAAGCAATCGGTCAAACCGAATAATACAACCGAGCCCATCCCGAGAAAAAATGTTAATCTGATTGATCTTAACTCTAACCCTACTTTACTTGGATGTGTCTCTCGTAGGAAAACGGCTTCAGTCAAATTTCAACTCGAAAAACAAACGCAGGTCGTACAAGAATATCTGTGATTACATTTTCCGAGTCACCAATATAATATGTGAGATAATTATGTGTTTTAGAATAATTGTTTTTTACCATTTTTCTTCGGTGTCCAATATTTGCTACCTTGACTGAGCTCTTCTGCTTGTGTTTTAGACTTACTACTTACCTAGACTGCGACTGATTGGGATAAAAAGTGACAAAGCCGCCAGAAGTAGACACGGCCAGGTGTAGATGGAAATAGAAACCATCCCGGGTAACCCGCAAATAACGGAATGCGAAATGTCGTGATTCTGCTTTGGATGAAGGCAAAGAAACCACTCTGGGTTATATCAGTTTAAAATAATGATAAACGCAGAAGAGATGAGGCTATATACCTCTGACTCAGATAGCCTTGTTTTGATAAAGCCCACACGTGTGCTACCAACGGGTTTATTCGTGTCTGGCTGAAAATCAATCAGTCAAACATTAATTTAATTTATGCGTCCATCAATTCAGAGCTTCAACATCCCTCCGCCGGGCAACCTCGGGGCATTTGAACTTGTCAAGATAGCTCGCTCAAATTCCTGCCTCGCGGTGTCACATATGTGTTCAAATGCCCCACCGGCAAAATGCCGGAATTGATCTTCCTTTTTTATTGAAATGAAAGATACGCGACTATAACTTTCCTTAAGCTGGAGATCTTTTATTTATTTTGAGCCATCTGCTCGTAAAAGTGAACTCTTAAGTTATTTCATATCAAAAAATAACACACGTTTATTACGCTGGAAAGACTTGACAGTTCTGATTCAAATTACTCACCCCACCAAAAGTGAGGTTCAAATTCGCCATCCTTCCCGGATACAGACGATAGTCAAATGGTTTCGTTGCCCAATGAGCGAATGGGAGGGGGGGAGGGGAGGGAGAGGAGAGGATGTTGATGCTTCGAGTTGATCGGTGCATTACCTAGTCTATGGCGCAATTTTGGATAAAAGAGTGATTGCACTCAAGAAAAAGAGATGAATACTAAGTATTAACTCACTAGTTTCTTAATTCCTTTACGTTAAAAAATTGTAGCAATCAAAATATATTTGAAAACACCTTTACAATGTTTAGATCATATTTAGCTCGACCATCTCATTCAACGTGAAGGTTTTTACATATATTATGATACTTTACACCAAATCAGTCATTTTTTTTTTATCGTTTGTATATATTTCAAAGCAACAGAAACCAGCTGACTAACTGAGTGGTAATACATGCAGAAAAGATGGTTGATTTTGTACACATAACTCGCAGGGAATAAATGCAAATGACTACAGGATTTCGAACGAGGACCCGGCTCCAAATGTTAATTTTCGAGTGAAATGCTTTGATTGCTATGCGAAGAAGTTTTTGCTGTATTCTATCTGTTATGCAAAAACGTACAACATAAAGTTCAATATTAGCTAAAAAATGATGGTAAATATTTTTGACCGGAAGTTACAGTTTTACTTCTGTGCACCTGAAACCTTAAAATCAGTCATTTTAAGCAGGGATTCCTACAAATATTATTTCTGAGAGTCATAGTAACCCCCATGTGGTAGTTGAATCGAAACTCTTCCATCTGAAACGAGACATTTCTAAGATTGAGAAAAAAAAAACCGGGAAAATGAGGCACTGCTTGTACCCACATCCGTTCTGAACATTTCCATATTTTTTTCTTGTATTTTTTTCCTTTGATTAAATTTTCTTTTCTTTCCTTACGGTAAAAAGATATGCTGAACTTTTCACTCGTTCCGTAGGAAAATGCAAGCCGTTCTTTCCCAACTTTCAGTTGGTCGTCAAATCTGCAATGATGTTCCAGGCGTTCCGCCACTAGAGATGCAGGAAACTGGGGATGAGAGTCACGAGCCTAAAAGGTTTGTCATTGTCCCCTAAATCACTGCTATTGTCTTCTTCAAATGTCTGGGGGAGATACAAAGGCCAAAATTTTTGCCTGAGTACATGGAGTAACTAGATTAAAATCGGATCTGTCGCCGTAGGCTATGGACTAGAATCATCTGCATGTCCTTGACAGATAGATCTGCGTTTTTCCCGCGAAATTGCTCAGCGCGCTCACTGATACTCGAAGGTCCACAGTCTGGATCTCAATAGGGACTTTTAGCACCGACGGTTTTGTAGACGGCCACGGGAACCGGAAATGAAGTCAAACACTTTTGCGCACGCGCCAGTATCGCCTTCGTTGTCCACCCGCCGTAGCGGGCGGGTGACACTAAATGGAAGGGATCGAAGGCGTTCGTCGAGGGTCGAACACACAAGTTTATAGTACAGCGGTTACATTTGAAATACTTCGTATAAGCTGTAGCACGTGTTCCACACGAAAAGTTCAAACCCGAAATGTGTAAGATCGTACTGAACAAAGGATAAAGTTGCACAAAAACTAATGAAAATGTTTTCAGTATGTCTGAGCTATTTACAAGGTTATCAATGCGCCCATAAACCTAACAGTAACGTTTGAACTTTGGACGGTAACTTCGACTCTGAAGCATGCAATAATCCGTTGTACTGTAGGAAAGTTTGTCCTGCTAATACAATTATATATTATAGCCTTTCCAACCAGAATGCAGCGCAGAAAGTCTGAAGTTTTTGCAATGTAATGGCTCTAATAAGCAAATTAGGGCATAAAGAAACTTAGAGTTTTTACATCACGGTGCATAAAATCAAAAAAACTGTTCAATGAAAACTGAAATATAGTCAATTATCAGTCAATCTTATGACTTGGTGAATTTACTGTACACGGTTGCGGGTGTTGGAAGGGGGAGGGTGTGTTGGCAGGGCGAGGCCACAGCCTCCCCAATTTCCGTACCACATTCTCCCGCCTCGTGTACTTTTTAACCCTTTGCCTCCCAGCTCCCACCTTTCGTTGTTGTATTCTTTGGCATCGGGTTTTTCAAAAAGACTACTGATTTACTAATTGCATATCGATCTCGTCTCATTTCGACTTGTTGAACCATTTGCAGTTTTATTGTTTGGCTTGTTTTCACATTTCAAAACTATCCGGATTTCTTTGAGACGTTTGTTAAACCTCTGCGGTAAGGTTTAAAATGTTTACATCGATTCCGTAATGTGATTGACTAATTTTGACAAATGGCATTCGCAGAAACGAGGTCCTCTATGGACTGATTTTTCGTTGCCACACCTAAAAATATTGACTAAATAAAAATAAAGTTCAAGTTCAAGTAACACAGGTTGTTGAAATGCTAGTCCTCATGCAAAATACCGAATTCTCATAGAAAATTTAAAGAGAGGTAACTGTGCATCTAAATGAAATTTTATGTGTTTCTCAAACTCAATTTTCCTCCAGGGCCAGTTCAGTCCAGTCCAGTCTGTATCATCAATGTTAAGGCTTTCCTTCTCATGACCGCTGAAAACCTCTGCAGCAGACCGCTTGTCTCGTAGCTTCTTAAAGATTACCAGTCCAGTTCCCATGGCCGCCAAGTAAGCAACACATATCATTACCAGACCTACTACGAAGGTAGTATCAGAAGCTAAAGAAGCAGGAAGGTAGTTGATAAATGAAGTAAGTATACAGCAGACAGGTATTAAGATATTATACAGACGTTCTTTTGTAGAATATAGATAACTAAATCATCGCTTCATCCAACCATGTTAAGCAACCCTGTGTTTATAAATTTAATGTCCTATAATTACTTGAATGGATTGCTTATCGTGCTTTATTTTATCTTAAATAGCAGGCAACATGACGCTACCTCGGGACTAGGAGAGGGGGCATACTGAGAGGGGGCATACTGATTTAGGAAGCCTAAAATTATTTCAGGCCCAATGTAAGACGTCTTTCCCTTTTTTTACTGTGGTACTCAACCGAAAATGCAATAACTTTGATATGTTGACTTGCTGGCTGGAGAAGTAACCGTGCTACTCCTCTAGCTTTAAAATCTTCATAATTTTCTTTAAAAAGTAATCTGTTAAGATTGATGATGGTCATCTTTCTAAGGACTTGATAATGACGGCTGCTGAAAACCAAAGATCTCAAAAAAAAAAGAAAAATATTACAAAAAAGGGAGAAGAAAGCAAAAGCCAAACAACACAAACATAACAGCCATGAGCACTGAAGGTTGGCCGAAAAGTATTCTACCTTTTGCGCGGCTACTTCATTCACACGCAACAGTAATTAGCGTCGACAACGATAACCTCCGCTTTCTAATTATAACTTCAGAGAACCAAATTACATTTGAGTTATAGGTGTGACTTAATTCCATGTACGGTATGATAAATTTCTCCAGAAATGTTTTTTCTGAAGTCTGCGTACATACCATTCTTCTCGTTACTGGCCCCATGCACTATTGCTTTTCTTCTCTTCTTTCTTCTCGCTAGCATGAAGGAGTGGACCCTGGGTCAAAGAATACTGCGCATTCATCTCGTTATCGCTTACTTGACGTTTCCCTCCGTTACCTGATGGACACTTCTTCGCACATTGGGAATCTGGGTCGGTTGCGTTGCATACGATCACGTGGCAGTGAACAAATACGAACGACTCGGTGCCAATGAATTTAGCGGTTTCAAGGCAAAACCGCTGCAAGTTGATCGAGGGTGCAGGATGTAGACCACGGAGGGATAATTTGCACATCTAAGAAGAAAAGTTCCAAGTTATAATACAGCCAAACAAATAGAAAAACTGTCAAACAAAGCAACCGTTTTCAACCAATGCTATCCTTTTTCTACGTTCAAGCTGATTACACCTTGGCCCATTTGGACCACACAACGCGAGAGGAAGAAGAGGAAGAGAATAAGTAAACGCACACTGTGTCGTTAAACTCATTGGATTGTATCACATTATATTGCGTTTCCGCAATACGCGTAATTTATGCAGAAAGTCTTGCATGCAGCATCACAAGCGTTGGAAGATTACCGATTTTGTTTAGGGCCAGATTTTAGAAGGTTTGCGATGCTTACATAATTAAAAGTAGTCTGACTCGAACTTGAATTCTAACGGCCGCAGCAAGAAATAATATGATCAAGTACTTGACTTACCCTATCGAAATAAACTCATACCTCGGTGCGTTTTCTCGTTTACGGGTGGGCGTGGTATAACATTGATCAGCAATAATTGACAGTCGCTTATCAGTTATCACCGATACCTCCAAGAAAAGACGTTTCTGCGCCACAAAAAGAGGAAAATCCTTTTCCTTGTAAGGAATCCCAAATTTCTTGTGAGGAAACATATTCAAAACGAGTCTAAAGTTCTCTTCCCCTTCTTCACTAATTATAACTTTTCTGTTGACTGCTCTCCAACCAACCGATGACACCACACCATGACTGGAATAAACACAGCTGAACTCTATTTTCAATTCACGTATCATGGCTTTTTTGGAAACTGTGGGAACTTTCAAGACCATATTGGAGTAAAGGACAGCTGTAGTCGTGTGCTTGCGTGTAGTTTTACACCCGGTTAGCGATGTTGTTAGACTGTAATAATTGTCGTCTTCCTCAGCTTTGCATTTCGTGTCCAGGAGTCGGAGATGCACTCGGTTGATACCAGGAAGGAGGGTGTTAGGAACATGTATTGTCATGTTGTTACGATTGCATTGTAACTTCGCTGAGGGATCTATATTTCATTCATTAAGTCAGTGTTATTGTTTTGGACAAACACGGTCTTATGATTTGTAAGTAGAAAAGCGATGTAATCACGTGTCCTGAATTTGCATTCTCTCGCTCCTAATGCCCAAGATGTTAGATTTGGTGCAAACAAGTGCTTACCGAATTTCAACTATATACTTTTGGTCGCTTATAGATCAGCTAGTCTGTCAGTTTGTCGATCGTTACTTTGGTCAATCCTTCTATCAGTGTTCATTCGGTAGGTCGGTAGGTCAGTCAATAGCCAATAAGACATACACATCAAGTGGCTGTCATACCTAAGCAACCGTAGAGCTCCATCCGCAGTGAAACATGGACAGACCATTCAGTCTTAATCTGATAAAACGTGCCTTGATCGGAGGGTAGAAATGGTAGTACACAATACTGTCCGTGTCTTTATTTCCTTCAAAGACCTAACGATGAAAATTAATAAGAGAATAATTAGAGCAGAAACGAATGCAAGGAAACAGTGTTTAAACAATGATTTATACATTTTGCCAGACCTAAAAGCGGAGCCTTACTTTTCTTTACCTTATTAGATTTTCTAACCATCGGTGGGAAAGTTTTTTACCACGGGTGGCGAAGAGGGAGGGACTGGGGGATGGGGAAGTGGGATATTGCCGTGGTAGAGAAAAACACAGTAATTTAAAGGTGCTTAACATTAATTAGACCGTAGGCGTATTTTTCCTTTTTCTTTTACAAAACAAGTACGATGTTTGATGTCATTTGTTGGGTTCAGCACGAAAATGGCAATAACCACGACTGGGGACCGAGATCAATTCATAAATTAAAAGAGGAGGGTACTTTGCATTATCAGTCTTCGTTGGAGGGGTCTGTGCATTTACAAATGTGAGGATTCGTGCCTCGTTTTCCCCGCCTCGCTTCTTGTTTTTCCTTCTTTTCCCGTGACTTTTTATCAAAACCCTGTCTACCTACAGTTAAAATTAATGCACTATCTTTTGCTGTAATAGCCAACGAAAGACCAAGAGAATTCGCTAAGGAACGGCAAAATTCGTAACGACATTCGCCATCAAATCAAGTCAGAGCCCAGAGTCCTTGTGCACCGTTATCTTCTGAACGAGGTCGAAAAAGAGTAACTCGGATTGTGGATATGCGTTTTGCTCAGCAGCCATGTTGCATGGCAGGAACAATAGATTATTTTTCCCATGGGAAAAGTTTTCTTTCTTATGCAGAACATTTTCATTATTCCTGCCATGCGACATGGCTGCCATGCAAAACCTCTATTGGAAACACATGGTAAAAGAGAAATCTTGCGCCTTGTAGTGTTGGACAGTTGTAGCTGATAACAACACAATAATAGTCTCTCATTTCTATACTTTATTATCTGTTAAACTACGCTTTGTGCATGTTGCTAGCTCCGCTATTCTAGCTCATACAGCTTGGGCTGTGGGTTAAAAAAAATTTCACTGCCATGTGGGATGGAAACAAATGTTTACACGCCTGGTTGTTCTTTCTTTTCCCTTCTCATTTTACCAAAATCCTTTCTCTTCAAGGCTTAAACTTAATGCGGGCCCAATACTTATACTAATCTAAAGATTAGTATAAACCTTACCTCTTTAGGGCCGTCGAGGTGTTCCAAAAAGAATAAAGAGAAACTTAACGACAGCCTTACCTTTGGCGAACTCTGGTCGGATTCTCCGTAATAGTGAAAGTTCACTCCATCGTCGCTGTACTGCAGTTTGAATTTAGTCACCCACTGGCTGTAACCATTTTTCCCTTGTGTCGCTATTCCTTTCACCACAGTGTACTTGGTAAGATCCACTTGAATCCACGAATTAACAGCGATGCCTGCTGACCATCCTCCCTGCTGTTTTCTAGCTGCCTTGAAGTTCAATCTTCCAAACTTTGCAGCATGTCGAACGCTATATTCTGAGGAGGCGGTGATTTGAGCATCCTTTATCCGTCCGTTCTCCATACCTAGAGGTGTTGAACACCCTACAAACAAAGAGAGAAGGAGCTGAGGATATTTTTGATTAAATTTATATTGAAAAGTAGAATGGAAGTGTGATATGCCCCAATCAGATAAAAACGGGGCAAAAAGCCCTCTTCTAACACACTATTGCCCCACGATTCACTTCATTTAACGTTATCCTTGAGAAACAAGACAAGAATTCCCGTCATTCTGTTTGTTGTTTATTTTAAGAATGTTTTCGTTAGTTCGTCCACTCATCAATCGGTCATGATCAGTTTGTCCAGTCAGTCAGTTTTCAGTCAGATATTCAATCTCAGAGTCGATTAGTCTAATAGAGACAGACAGACATTTAACAGAGTAATTTTTTTCCACACATAAGGCTATGCAGGTGTCACTGATACCCAAACAGCCGTACAGCTCCATCCTGAGTGTTATGTAACCATACCAGGCTTTAGGTCTGAGTCTAGCCTGATGAAACGAGCTTGAATTGACGGGTTTAACTTGTGATAAACAATGCTTTCCTGGTTTCTATTTCCACTGAATTGCTAAAAATACATTGAGACAACATTTCTGATAATAGAATACCATATGAATTCATAATTTCAGAGTACAAGAGTGAACTAAAGCAATTATTTAAAAACCTGATGAAACTTAGTATGACAAACATAAGCACGTTCATTTCTTTGCAGAGTAGAGTATAGCTCAATTGGTTAGAGCGCCGGATTGTGTTGTGCGGGAGGTCGAGGGTTCGAGCCCCGGCCGGACCAATACTCACGATCTTAAAATAATTGAGGAGAATTTGCTACCTTTCTACAACAAGAAATGGATAGATATTCTAGTCTTCTCGGATAAGGACGAATCAACCGCAGGCCCCGTCTCCTGCAGGGTTAGGGGTAGGAGACGTTAATTTACCGCGCACGAGATTACTGTGAGGTGGATGTCCTCCCCTGGGGTGGGATGGGTGGTTGTTGGCCCTGAAAAGCCCTTACGGGGAGTGGTCAATTAACTTATGTATGTATGTATGTATGTATGTATGGGATATTAAACCCAGCTTACATGAGAGAAAAGTTAATGGTCCGCCGACTTATGGCGAAACCCACAAAGAAACTTTTGAACACGGTATAAAAAGTAAGATGGGAAAAAACAGTCTTAATTGCCTTTTTTCAAAACTTGTAAATTTTTATTATGTAATCAATAATTAGATTTTTAAACAGGTCTTTCTTGCCTTTCTCTTTTCAAATCTGTAAGTAATTAAATCTGAATAGCCACTCAGTGAAGAATTAATAAAGATACTGCACTCCTGCCGTGTCAGGAGGGTCTCAAGTCTCAATGTGAGGGGGGGGGGGGGATATTGACGCTTGACGGTTAAATTTTTAGGTCATTTGACGGTTGACGGTAAATGTTTTTGGAATCTCGTCCATAAAACGAACTAAACGCGCGAATTTGGCGCTGTTAAATTCGGAACTGTTTATAGATAACTAGAAGTTAAAGGACTTACATAAACGAATTTTTGTGAACAACAGAACTTGAACCCAATTAGGGCAATCGTTTAGTTCTTAATTAAGGATTCCTGAGATATTTGACGGCTAAGATTGGTTTACTTATTTGACGGTTGACGGTAAATATATTGCGTTTCTAGCGGTTGAGGGTTAACATTTGGGCCATTTAACGGCTGACGGTTAAACCCATTGAGACCCTCTGTCAGTAGCCCACTTGCGAATTTTTTTCAAATTTGCATGCGAAATAACTGGCGCTAAAATACAGCACCAAAACGAGGCGCAATTTTTATAGGTCTTTTTGTCTTCGAGATTAATGAATAAGTAGCATAAAATGTATCATTGTTCAGTCGCTTAATAATGGGAATCATAATTAGCGGAATAATCTATCATACTTTGTGTTTCGTATGAAATATACGGCTAGGAGTTTGGTTGAAATTTTCAAGTGTCGTTGAAAGGACAAAAAGTTATTGGACGAATCATTGCAAGCTAAAGATGGCAAACCAATCCTATCGATGTATAATGCCCACTCACTACAGATTCATACAAGAAAACTTTAAACTGTAGAAGTAGAGAAAGCCAGGAGTCTGCTCTTTCAACGATTTTGCGGGTGAACGAGCAAGAATATTACAATATACAAAAGCTCTCTAAAAAAGTTTAGAACGTCAGTGAGACGAAACGCGTCGAAGAATAAAGAGGTTTTACAATTACTGTTCGCGGAGTCTTGCATACTAGTTTAGTTTTAAAAAATTGTGAAAACCAAGTAAGCTTTTGAAGGATCGTAAATTCTCCTCGGTTGCAAACGAAACAATTGCAAATGTAATGGTTCATGATGCCAGTGCATTTGGATTAGGCAGATGGCTTTTATTGGTGATTGGGTTCTCTTCGATAACCTTTCTGCAGTTTTCCACACTTTTCACCAACGTTGTTTGTTTCATTGCCATGGCTTTGTTTCACAAATCAACGATTGATCTCAAAATTTGCAACCCCATCATTATACTTGCAAAATGGGACACACTGCTGAGTTTTTGTTTGTGAAGATGGTTTATGACGATCAGAGGTTTACATGAGATCTGTTGACAGTCTTCACGAAGGATGCGAAATAGATCAATGAGTAAGTTAAGATTAAAATACGCTGAATAATATTAAATTTGAAATATATTCTTCGCTTTTCTTTTGGCTCTATCTACCTTACTATTCGGATGTTCCTCTTTTAATATTTCTGGGGGCTGCGTCGTACTCAGTTGGACTCCTCTCGCGCAATTTGATATCACAATCCAACAGAAAGGTTGTCAAAATATATATCCAATTTTCTTTATTTCATGTGATGCACGATCCTCGCAGTAGAGAGCGCTATTCATGCACTAGCGAGAATCAGACCTGAGATAAAATCAGGCCTATACGGGATTCGAACCACTGACCTCTGCGATACTAGTGCAGCGCTCTACCAATTGAGCTAACAAGCCTTTAGAAAATAGATTTCTGTTCATTACGCTAAATCCTTTTGCAATATTTTTCTTTATCTCGTTTACTATGGTGAATCTTTGAGTCTCCTTCATCTAAAACTCTTAATGAGCCGATGCTAATGACGACCTAAACGAAACAGTCAATAGTTTGAACCTGGAGGTAACTTTAATCGTATGATCGTAAGGACGAGAGAAGTCCTCGAAGGGATGTTGTCGGTGGTAGAGACTGACCTTTCGCAACCATAACGGAAATCATCATCAAACTAAAATGACTGAGATACCCAAATAAAGATAATTAAGCAAAAATGAGAAATATACCTTCTGCATGCAACTGTTTCTTGTTGATACCAGTAAAGGCTAGCTTTTATAAGCTTTCATAGGACCTCCTAACATTTGAATATAATAATATTAATGCGTAAAGGGCTTGATCCATTTTCAAATTTTATACAGTTCTTGTGCATGAATCGCTACAAGAATAAATTCGATTTAACTTAAGAAGACCTGAAAAAAATTCAGGCCTGTACGGGATTCGAACCCATGACCTCTGCGATGCCAGTGCAGATATACACTATCGTTGGGCATGAGTAATCATGCTAGCTGACTGACCTGGCATATCAAACATTTGTCGTTTGAACTCTAACCCAAGCACTTTTACACAAGTCCCACAAATGAGTAACAGCGTACTCTATGCTTCCGATCAACCAAATCAACCCCTAGCTACGAAAGATAAAAGAAAAAGTTTTGTGAGGGTTCAAGGCATGATCAAAAGACAAACTAAGCAGGACAACCCCAGTTGACAAGGTTAAACGAGATAGTCACAAAATGGAAACTCATCACGAAGGCTTAAACCTAAATAGAACTTCAGACTTCAAATTTATATAGTACTTAACTGAATGCCAAATGCAAACGAATGACTAAATTATACTGTCCTAACTAAACAATTCATGGTAAATAAACCTTTGGATGTTGNGGGTGTAGGTGCACTTTAATCTTACTCCTCGTCAAAATGCGATGCTCAACATCCAAAGGTTTATTTACCATGAATTGTTTAGTTAGGACAGTATAATTTAGTCATTCGTTTGCATTTGGCATTCAGTTAAGTACTATATAAATTTGAAGTCTGAAGTTCTATTTAGGTTTAAGCCTTCGTGATGAGTTTCCATTTTGTGACTATCTCATTTAACCTTGTCAACTGGGGTTGTCTTGCTTAGTTTGTCTTTTGATCATGCCTTGAACCCTCACAAAACTTTTTCTTTTATCTTTCGTAGCTAGGGGTTGATTTGGTTGATCGGAAGCATAGAGTACGCTGTTACTCATTTGTGGGACTTGTGTAAAAGTGCTTGGGTTAGAGTTCAAACGACAAATGTTTGATATGCCAGGTCAGTCAGCTAGCATGATTACTCATGCCCAACGATAGTGTATATCTGCACTGGCATCGCAGAGGTCATGGGTTCGAATCCCGTACAGGCCTGAATTTTTTTCAGGTCTTAATTTCACCGTTGCTGAAATAGTGCTGCTCACTGCGAAGATCGTTCTCATATGCGTTTCTGTAACCGCAGTTCAAATATACGATTTCTGATATATTCCTAGCATTTGATAGCGTATATATAAGTATGTAATTAAAGCTTACTCGGTTGACAGAGTTCGTTCATTAGAGGAAGCGGGTGTTTAGCAGCACAGGTTAGTAAGAAGTATTCAGTGAAAATCCGCGTGAGAGTCTAAGAGATTAACCAGAGTTATACAGAGTGAAGCCTTTGATTCAAATAATAATGGCCCTCGAAGGTAAGTAAACAAGATCAGTGCAATTGAGTCGTGAAAACAGTTTACTTTTGGTGAGCTCTGTCCTGGTTCTTTGTACTGAACAAAAGGTTACTCCATCCTCCGGGCTGTATAGAAGCTCGTATGAAGTTACCCACTGGGCCGGTAATCACTTCTTCCTTGTGTGGCAATCCCTGTCACAACACTGTGTCTACCAAGATCCACCTGGGGCCACTTATATACATTATTTGCGCCTGCTGACCATCCTCGTCATATGCCTCCACCTCACTTGAAGTTCAGCCTTCCCTGGACTACAGCAATGATCCCACCATATTCCGAAGAGGCAGTGATCTGAGTGTCCCTTATCTGTCAGTTCTCCATACCCATTGCTTCGGAACATGCTTTATACAAGAAAAAGAAAAATACTTCAGGGCAGGATGACACAACCAATATGATTCATTTACTTCAAAAACCTACCTCAAAAATTGACCCATAGACTGACCAATAAATATTTCGGTACCTTTGATAAAATTTCTTGAAACGGTCATTTCAAAACAAATGCGGCTCTTAATAAACTGCCATATCACAAAATCAAATAAACTTTCAGACAACTGCCACCGTAAAACCGGTTAGCTTTCTCCGTGAACTGCCTGCATAGAGTCAATGTAACCTTTGCAAAAACCTGTCATCACAAACTCAACATACACAGCTGAAACGGTGTCTTAAAAAAAAAAAACAGAAGGCGAAAAAGGAATGAATTGAAATATAAAATTAAACAGGATTTAAAAAGTTTATAAAATGATCTCCACAGCAATTTTCATAGAATTTCAATTAGAGGGTTCTTTTAAACTTCTTGAGAGCATTAGATGTTTGTTTAGAAATGTCGAAAGATGACTAAAAAAGTTTGCTGGTTTTCTAGATGGCAAAGTATTTGAACTTACCATGAGAACACTTTTTCCTCATTTTTAAGTTTAATCTAACAGTCGTTGAAATGTGCGATTTTCTAATGTGCGTGCGCTCGGAAAATTTTCAGTTCAAAAAGGAAAAAAGCAGACAGCCCCTTCTAATCTTCAGCACAGCGTTCTTCGACCATTAAGTGATCTTTATCAGTTGTGAGTAACTTGGCATGAAAATAATGATAAAGAAAGATAAGAAAAATGATAACGCAGACAGAGCAATGCGCTACAGAGTATGGCTTGAACGATACTTCTGCGTCGGCTTGTTTGAGCTGCGTCTTACTCAATGTACATAGAAATAATGGGGTAATTTGTCGTTTAGAAACGTAGAGGCATCCACAGCTTGTCAAAACATGGAAGAAAATCACGCATGATCTTCGCTGTATGACAACTGTAAATTTTTAAACAGTGATAAAGATATCAATTTGAAGAAAAACAGATGAGACCCATTGATGTCGTCCTGTTTTTGATGCGATGATCCAGGCATTAACTAGTCTTATCAGTTTCAGTCTCCTGGGGTCAACCAAGAGACAATTAAATAAATTGCAAGGTAGTAAAGAAATAATTACCCTATATAGAAAGAGTTGTAACTAGCTAATTGTGCATTGGATTGAATAAATTCAAAGGAATTTATATCGTTGTAAAACCAATTCCCTTAAATATTTGTCGGAGCAAAGTCTTTCGACTTAAATTGCTCTCCAGGCAAGTCACCGGTTTAAAGAGTTAGAATAATAGGCCTTTTCCTACGGCTGTTCCGAAAACGCAGAGTACGGAGTGGGGAGTGCGGAGTGCGGAGTCTGAAAAAAAAAATTAAAAAAAAAAAAAACATGAAAAGAATAATTAAATACATAAATAAACTAGAAATAGAAATTTAATAAATAAAAATAATAATTATTAAAAAATTCACGCCGCCTGAAGTGGACTGTTTATATGGTAAATTTAACCCAAGATTTTCATAGTTAGCGGTTCACTTTTACCTTGAGTTAGCAGTTCACTTTTACCTCTTATTACCAGCTTTAAATGAATATATTAAGTACGTTTATCCCCGTCACATGCCTTTCCATGTCAATTGATTGAATGCCTGGGCTAGAGGAGACAACTTATCCCCAACCTCTTCCTGGCGTTCGGTTAGTTGGGTCATAGCCCTGAAAACGGTGAGCGAAAAAATCGGGAAAAAGTGCTTTTTTTACTCTGTTTTGCGTTAAAAGCCTTCAAGTACTGTGTACCAACTTAACTTTATTTCCTGCTTGAAATCAGTAGTTTTCTTCCGGAGAAGATATTAGATTCTAGCAGAAAAAAAAAAAGAAAAAAGAAATACATGGTCGCAGTCATGGAAAATCTTCATTTTGCTACCACCGCAAGGAGAACGCTTGATGTTGAATCGACCAACCAAGATGAACTCTTCCTATTCAGGCGGTCTAACGGATAAAGAGGGCGCCTTTCACCTGGAAAGTGTTACACAACTGAGAATTCCTGCGAACCGTTAAATAACTGCGCACTGACTGTTCGACTGGACCCGACCAATTGCCTCCCCGGTTCGTAAAGCTGGTGGCTAGATACTTGGCCGGCCCACTCACAACTATTATCAATAACTGTATTTCAAAGTTGTACTTCCCGCATGCCTGGAAACTCCCGCGTATCAGCCCCTTTCCAAAAGTTGATACGCCTGTCTCGGAAGATCACTTGTGTCCAGTGTCGATTCTTTCCGTACTTTCTAAGGTATTTGAGAAGCTAGTTGCTTCTCAAATGACTGATTTCTGCACTAGAGAACCTCTCCTTAGAGACGCCATCTCGAGCTTTCGTAAGGGGCATTCGACCTCTACGGTACTCTTAGGTATAAGGGACGACCTATTGAGTGCCATGAAAAGGAAAGAGGTGAGTCTTATGGTACTAGCAGACTTTTCGAAAGCATTTGATACCGTTTGTTTTAAAACGGTGATGACCAAGTTGTATCACCTCGGTTTTTCAAAACATGTCCTCGAATGGCTGGCTAATTATCTATGTGGCAGGAGACATTACGTTCAAATTGATGATTGCAAATCGTCACCCGTGCTCTCCGAATTTGGAATCCCCCAAGGCTCAATCCTTGGACCGATGTTGTTCAATCTCTACGTTGCGGATCTCCAAGACATTCTTGCACCTACAATCAAAAGTTTCCAATATGCCGATGATAGAACATTATACTCTAGCTGTTCTACAACGCAGATCACATCTCAAACGGAAAGCATGAATGCAACCCTGGCAGGCCTCGGCGCCTGGTCAAATGATTCAAACCTGGTCCTGAGTTCTAAGAAAATCAAGACCATTCTTATCTCAACTCCACAGATGGTTCATGTACATTCTCTCGGAAATCGAGAGTTGAGATTAGGAATCTCCGGTAAACCACTGGAACGTATAAATGTTACAAAACTCCTGGCAGTACACATTGACTCGAATCTTAAATGGGAATTTCATATCAGTTCTATTCTTAAATCTTGTTATGCGACTCTGAGAACCTTAAGAAAAATATGGAACTTTACTAATTTTAAACTACGGAAACATTTGGTAGAAACATTAATTCTGTCTAAAATAAGCTACTGTGACGTTTTTTATCCACTACCAAAATTCCTCTCAGCTAGACTACAAAGGCTCCAGTTCGCTATGGCTAGTTTTGTCACTTGTAAATACGTAAAAAATATATCTACCATTTTGGATCTTGACTGGCTACCTATCCTGGAGCTAAGGGACTACTCGCTACTAAAGACTACTTTTAAAGCAATGTATTCTGATAACTGGCCCTCCCATTTAAATTTGCAAGTCCTTAAACCGGTTAGGCATCTCCGTTTCAGTGTTCAGTGCTCCAAGGCTTTATGTTCCATTTGTACAAGGCACCTTTCAGCATTCAGCCGCTATAATTTTTAACGAATTGCCAGAAAATATAAGGAATTGTACAGATTTAAAGAATACTGCAGGCTCTGCAAGGCGTTCTTAAAGGCGCGCGCCTTGTCTTCCTTGTAAAGATATAGAAACAACCACCACCACCAACCAAAATATTCTACATAACTACTTTCATGTATAGTATTTATTACAATTTAGTTAGTCATTATAATTTAGTTTTAATATTAAATATTAGTATCGTAGGCCTTCACAGATGAAGAGCCGCACCTTTTATGTAGATATACTGTGAATAAACTACAATTTCCATAAAATCCTCTACAATACAAAATATTAACAGCGTAAAAAACGATCCAAAGTAACTCACTTTCGGCTCACATCTACTCCTTTTTTTTAATGTCAAAGCGTCTGGAAAACTATAAATAACGGAGTCAAACCTAAACAGATTCAAAGTCTAATAATCTGATAAGTAAAAGCATATCTAAAACTATACAGAGAAGAGAACGGTGAATGGCAAATCTATACTTTGAATAAAGTGTTATTATTATCATTTATTATTATTATTATTAGTTATTATATGCCTCGGAGAAATCATTTTGAAAGATGAGTAGTGTTTTTAGGTGGTTGTTCCAAGATTATTCACCATGAAGTTAAAACTGATGAAACAAATGAGAATTTAGCAAATTAATCGAGGTTAGAGGTAATTTCTCGGTTACACCGGTTTATTATCCAACTGCTACTTCGTTAAGTACAAATAACGCCTAAAACGCGTATGGGTATAAACATGTCGTGGTATTTGTACTTCAGAGAACCCCATAGACAGGTTTTCTCGCATCGCGCAAGCGAAGAATTGGATTGAAGGTACGAAAAAGAATGGCGGGCAATTGAAATTACTTTTCTGACGACGAAGAGTTGGAATGGCTGGTGAATATTGATCCAAGTTTATTACTAGATAAATCGAACGAAGAAGATCAGTTAGACGATAATGAAATTTCATTCATGGAAGAAAATAGAAACAACAACACGACAAATAATTCTGTTCCGCTTCGCATACTTTGCCACGCACTCCCCGTAAATAAATATCCGCGAACTTCGCCCTACTGAAATAACAATTTGGTGTGTTGGATAATAAATCTCTTATTTAAGTAATTTGTTTTGTAGTGTCGCTGAGTATTTTTACTCGTTGTTTGTATTTTGACTCGCCATACGTGCTTGTCAAAATACGGCACAAAAAAACGCTTAATAAGTTATATTTATTAACGAGTCCGTACCTAGAACGTCCTCGTTTATAATTTAGTAAAACAAGACTTTGATCCACAAAGCTATTTCTACAGTAACCCAATCCGCACTCCCTAATCACAACCGTAGCTTTCGTCGTAGAGTGTCTTCAAAATTGGTGTAGCACTAAACTGAGGTGTTGACATAAATTTCGAGTGACACGACTTGCTGCACCGCAGACTATCAAAACTGTCAACAGTGTTGCTAACGGCTGAGGAATTCGATAATTCTCATGTTACATTCAAATTTGTAGTGAAGGAACTTCTAACCAATCTAAACCATATTATTCCTC